ATTTCATTAATCCTTTGCTAGTACATAGATTCAGGATGAATTTATCGTGTGAAAAAATACAGTATAGGGACTTATTCAGTATTTGATGAGTTAATTCAGTCAAGTTTTGGCTCTTCACACACACACATTACTAAGTTTTCAGAATTAGTTTTTTCGAAATTTCATATTCTACTAAATCAAGACACCAAGAAAACCACAAAATTGAGCATGTTGAGATGTGGCAATATGGTCACGTGTTGTTTGTGATTGGGCTACAGTCTGAGAAATGCCTCATTAGACAATGTTGTCATTGTGAGATGACACAGATGTACTTAGAAGAACTAAGAAAGCTACACCACTAGGCCATATCTATCTTATAGTTTGCTTTTTTTAATATCTCTAAACTAGATTTGTATTTATTTTGTGTCCATGTGGAAGTCAGATTGTGGGAGTCAGTCCTCTCTTCCACCACATGCTTCCCAAGGAACACAGCCTCCTCAACCACTGAGCCTTCTTAAGGCCCTGCTTCTGGTTTTGGTCTGAAATTCAATACGCAGCCCAGGCTGACCTCAAAAACATGGCAATCCTCTGGCCACGTTTTGTGATTACAGGCACATACCAACCACAACTTGCTTAGGAGATGCTTTTGTAGTCGTTGTTGTTCATTTATATGTTTGTTTGCTTGCTTGCTTTGCTATTCTCCTTCTCTGGGTCAAGGAAGCTTTTGTGGGATGTTAAGATTAATTTATTTTATTTATATGAGTGCTGTGTTCCCATGCATGCCTGGTTCCCACGGAGGTCAGAAGATGGCATTGATTCCTCTGGAAACAGAGTTATGGACAACTGTAAGCTGCCATGTGGGTTCTGTGAATGGAACCTGGTTTCTCTCTGAGAAAAAGGGCTCTTAACCTCTGAGCCACCTCTCCAGCTGCCAGCAGGTATTTAAAGAGAAGTTCCTGTTCACTAACTTAAAATCACCTTTTCAAGGGCTCGCACTCAGATCTTCTGGTTCCATAAGGAAAGCAGATTTGTTTGGAGGCTGAGATTAAACAGTCGTGGTAGTGGAATGCTTTCATCCTCAAGGTCAACAGAACTGAGGCAAGCAGCCAAAATGTCTGTGCTCTGGATCTCTTTAGATGTTTGTGGGTGAAGGCTAGGTTATCTTGAAAGTTCCTTGCAGGTCTGAAAGCTCAGTGGTTGACTTAGTGCAGGCTGTACAAGATGAGAAGTGAAGGAAGGGCCAGTGACTCCACCTAGATAGGTTTCCAAGCCTGGGAAGTGGTGGCACTGTTGGCTACCCAAAGAGTTAGAGAAGGAAGCAGGCTTTCTTTTTAGTCCATCTTGGCTTGTTTGTTTGAATACTTGCTTTTCCTGCAGGAGGTGTGATGATGTTTGGCCTTAGCAATGGGAGTATTCCTAAGTAGCTATCAATGAAGGGGTTAACCCTGGATAAGAGGTTAGGGTTGGAAACACAGCTGGAAACTCATCAGCTTACTAGAGGGGCTCTGAACCCCACCCCACCCCCAATGCTGGTGAGCACCCAGAAGCTGTACAAGAACCCTGAGGAATGCTGGAACCAAGTGGAGAAAGGGAAATGGAATACACTAGAAAAGCACAAGGTCACAGGAACCAAAGCTGTTCCAGGAAAGTAAGTGTGATGGGTCTAGAGTCAAGTGTACTGAACAAGGACAAGTCAGATTCACTCCTGACCAGACCTGCAGTGTGAGTGGTGTCAGTCCTACCCAGGGCACTGTGGAGCAGCATGCTGTGCTTTGGATATGAAGGGCCACCTCAAGAGGCCCTTGTACTCACAGGCTGGGCCTCAGCTGGTGATGCTGTTTGGGAGTTCTCAAAACCTTAGCAGGGAGGATCTGACTGGAAGAAGTAAGTCACTCTGTGTGTGTGTGTGTGTGTGTGTGTGTGTGTGTGTGTGTGTGTGTGTCCTTGGGGGAATCCTGACCCTGGCTCTTCCTGTCTCACTTTCTCTGCTACTGCCTGCCATCTGCCATGCATGAACACCTCCCCTCTGCCACACTCTCCTGTTGACATCATGTTCTGCCCAAGCACGTGAGCTCAAAAGACCATGGACTGAACCTTCTGAGACCTGAGGCAGAAATGGGGTCTTTCCTCTCTTGTTCTCTCTAGTATTTTGTTTATAGTACTGAGACAGTGAATGACAGCAGTGAGTATATAGTACTGTGACAGTGAGTGACAGCAGTGAGCTAGGGTCAAAATGTAGATAACTAAGTGGAGACTTTCTGGCTTTGGCGGAATTTGGTTAGCAGTAAGAACAAGTGAAGAGTATTTTGATTTTGCATTTTATTCTTTAGGCAACAGGCAGCCTAAGTGATACTAAGTAGGTTACATCTGCTTGGGCCTTGTCCAATATGAAAGTCGCATGTGACTATTCAGGTATGACTAAGGTCTTTAAAACTTGAGAAACTTACATTTAAATTATCTTACAAACTGCTACACAATCTTGTTACCAAAAAAGCACTATGTATGTTTGAAGCAATTAGAGTATGTGAATTTCTTCCTTCTTTTCTTTTTTCTTTGAGACAGTAACTCATGTAGCCCAAGCTAATCTCAAACTCATTATGAGGCTAGCTTTTGAACATCCATTCCCTGTGTCTCTGGCTTCCAGGTGCTGGGATTACAAGTGTTCCCTATCACCCCAGACTTTGGATATATCTTTTGAACTGTAAGTTTAAAGAATTCTAAATATATGACAATATGTTCAAATTTTTAGCAGCCAAATTGAAATGAGATAGAAGTTTAAAATAACGAATTTTGAAGATTTAATGCAAATAATCTTTAACTGCATGTTGAAGTCAAATGCATGCCTACAATCTCAGCACTCAGAAGACTGAGCAGAGTGACTGCTGAGTTTAAGGCTAGCCTGGGCTACACTGCAAGTACCAGGCCAGCAAGTTCTACATAACAAGACCCTATCTCAAAAAAAAAAAAAAAAAAAAAGAAGAAGAAGAAAAAAAAATCACTACTGGCAGTAATATTTTGAATCTATTAGCAAAGACATTGGCTGGGTGGTAGTAGCTCTCATCTTTAATACCAGCACTCAGGAAGTAGAAGCAGAAGGAGGATCTCTGTGAGTTCGAGGCCAGCCTGGTCTACAAAATAAGTTCCAGGACATCTAGAGCTGCTGTCTGGAAAATCCAAAAACCAAAGGGGGGAAAAGTCATACTTCAAACATCTTTAATTTTTCTATTTGTGACATTTTTCAATAACATCGTGTGGCTGACAACTACTCTTACTTCAGGCACCTTAAAGACCTATGGCAGTGTTCTAATAAAGCAGTAATATCTAGTCAATAAGCAAGTGCTGGGAGACTATGGGGGGGATATCTACATGACTGAACAATGAAGAGTTGTCAAAAATTACACTCAAAAGCAAACAAACATTTTCTGGTTTTCTCTTGACATCTACTCACCACCAGAGATAACTTTTGCAACTTGAGTGTTAAAAACTTCAATTCTGGGAATGATGAGCTGTCTCAGCAGGCAAAGGTGCCTGCCTCCAAGCCTGAGGATTTGAGTTTGATCCCTGAGACCCACACAGTGGGAGGTGAGAAGGGACTCCTGCAAGTTGTCCTCTGACTTTCACATGTGTGCCTCAGCGCACACACACACACACACACACACACACACACACACACACACACACAGAGTAAATAAGAAAAACAACAAAAAAGCCTCCCATTCAAGAAAAAATATACAATTCTAAATTAGCAAAACAAGAAACCCTAAATCAATTGCGTATAAATAACATATTTTCTGTATAGGTAAATTTTACTTTAAATCTATACCTTCTTAATTGTCCATCTAAATTAAAGCAAGGTGAAAGAAAAACCGTTTTACTGAAAAGGCCGGGCGTTGGTGGCGCACGCCTTTAATCCCAGCACTCGGGAGACAGAGGCAGGCAGATCTCTGTGAGTTCGAGGCCAGCCTGGTCTACAGAGCCAGTTCCAGAACAACCTCCAAAGCAATACAGAGAAACCCTGTCTCGAAAAAACAAACAAACAAACAAAAAAGAAACAGTCTTAATATATTTGATTGTATACACCATAGATAATAAAGTATTTAGTCTAAAATACCATTTAAGTATTCCCAGTACTCTTAAATATAAAAACAAACACCCACACAACTGGTTAGGTTTTGCCACTCCACAAATAAGACACAAGTAGCAGCTAGCTAAAAACAAGGAACGCTCGCTTCACAGTCAGTAGAACTTATCCTGTCTTAACTGCAGGTCTCAGATTTTTGACATTTATCTGACATTCAAAGCATAAGACTGACATGAAATTAGTTCCGACATCGTAATTGCTCTTTCTTGCATTTGTGTAATGGCTACAAAGTTGATACATTGAAGTTCAACAGATGTATCCATTTCCCAACAGACAATCAAAGATGGAGTCAGGACAGCTCTCTCGCAAAAAGAGGGCAGATGACTTCTAAAAGGCAGAACGTGAAGTGAGGGAAACCTGTCAAACACCCAGGACGAAACCAAGGAGCTCAAAAGAAACAATCATTTCCTTCGACACGGTGGGAAAATCCCGGTGGCTCACAGAAAGCCTCGGAAAGTTTGGTTTGGCTGATTGCATCTTGTTTTTCTTCCAACATCAGTACCGGGCCCGGAGGACTTTTCCTCCCCCGGGAAACGGCGCGTCCTCCCGCACCCGGCTCCCGCACCGGCTGGACGCCCCCGGGCAAGCCGCGGGGTGGCTGTCCCGGGCTAGCTCCCGACTCCACAATGGAGCTCGCCCCCGCGCACGCCCACTCCAGGAGGGCCATTTCCCTTTTCCTGCCCAGATGCTGTCCGCCCTCTCCAGCGCCTCGCTCCCCACCTGCGGCGCGCGACCCCGAGGAAGTGGCCGTGCGGGCCGAGAGGAGGACCCCCGGGGCCCAGCCCCGCAGGACGCGCGGTGTCGGGGCGCAGAGGCTGTGCCGCCCTGCCTCGATTTCCCTCCCTTCCCCCTGCGGCGAGAGTCCTCGGCCCACACTCACCCTTTCACCACAAAGAAGGGGTCCTCCATGGACATGGCGCCCGGCCCGGCAGCCCGAGCCCTCCCTGAGGTCTCCCGTGGCCAGCGCCTCGGCCGAGTGACCCGGAGCAGCGGTGCGCGCAGACCTGGGTGCCCGACGACCGCCGGTCCAGCACTCGGTCAGCGCCGTGGGCCGAATCCCACTCCAAGCCGGCCCCCACGGCAGCCTCCTCCCCCGGCACCTCCGGCGCCTGGCCCCGCCCCCAGGACATTCTCTGCGACCAATCAAGAATGCGTATCGCAGCTCCACTTCCGCACTCAAGCTCACGTGACCCAGACCGCTCAGGCTCAGGGCCTAAGAGAGGCGGGGCTTGGGCTAGCGTCACTGGGTCCGAGAGGCGGGCTCTGGGAGGTAGGAGAGGTCTTCTGCCTCTGCTGAGAGAAGGCTGTGGGGATTTTAGCAGTTATTGAATCTGTCTGCTTAGACCTCTTACCTTTCCTCAACTTTTAATACCTGCTTTTAACGTTGTATGACTCCCGCGCCCATCACATCCACGACTTGCACTATAGGATTCTCAAATAACATGATTATGATAAAATCTTAAGTCATGTATGTAAACATCTTCAATACTCTTTGGGGGGACGATCCTACTGTTTTCTATTTTGTGAGAGGCTTCAGTCTCTCTTGTACAGGGAGGATCTCACGACCCAGGCAGCACAGAACCACAGATCCTGGACACCTTCCCCAAAATGGACAGTATTATCTTTTGAAATACATTCTGAAAATTAACTTCACAGCAGAGGGCAAAGGAACCAGGCAGGATAACTTCCTCTCAACTATGATTCCAAAACACCCGAAAACATTTTATCTGGCACAGTTAGTAAACTGGAATATTCGAAGCGCTGTACATATCTTTCATTGTTAAACAGTGTGACCTTTCATTGCTGATAACCACCGCGCACTTAAGGTCTTGTTGGGCAGGGTTCTAAGTTTCTTCACTATCTTCAGTAAGGTAATTACTGCTACTTAGTATCTGCATTTTACGAATGAGCTTTCTGAGATTCTGTGAGGTTAAGTGACTTGCCCAAAGTTTCTAGTCTCTTTGGAACTTGCATCAAACAAATCTCTTTTGAACCTGTAGTCCCTCAATCAACTCCTCATCTTTAAGATGCAAACAAACCAAGGCACACTTTTAATCCCACCACTCGGATCCCTATGGCCTCGAGGCCAGCCTGGTACACAGAGTTAGTTCTAGGACAGCCAAGGCTACACAAAGAAGCCCTGTCTTGGGGGGAGGGGGAGGATGTAAACAATATCTAGCTCTTGTATTGGTATGTAAACTCTGAGGCCTCCAAAAAAGAGGTAGTAAGGTCAGAGACACCTGAAGGAAGCTTTTGACCAGACGGCAGCAAGAGAGGAGTGACTCTGAGAGACGTTTCCCATGGAATACAAAACATAGTTCCTGGACACAATGGGAGAAGGGATGAGGAGGGAAGGGAACGTTGCAGACTCCAAGTGTCACTGAACTGAAGGAGCAGTGGATGGCAGATGTAGAGAAAGGAGGCTTCTGGGAGAGTTGCAGGCTTTGGTTACCTACTTACTGAGATGGAGAGATAAAATTGTTCACGTGACAATGACAGGTAAGGGGATGGGCAGATGAGACCAGGGATTCTAAATGATACTTGGAGCCTGATCCTTGAGTTTAAAACCTCAGCTCTGCTACTCTCAGCAGCCGTGTTTGAGCAAAGTTCCTAACTGTTCACTGTCCTTACTGTGAATGGACACCATAATAACATTTTTCTCCTACAGTATCTCAAGGCCTGAGATGATCTGTGAAAGGCCTTGGGACAAAGCCTAGCACACCTGAGCTTTTTCTCTGTTCAAAGAGGATTCAGAGATGAATACCCTAGCCTTCAAGGAGCTCTCAGGCTTGTGGGGAAGAGCATTCAGTTACAGATAATGAGAGAGTGCACTGGTAACCAGAGAAATACACTGGCCAGATAACAGAACCTAGATATCAGTGTGCTTGTGGGTATGTCAGGGAAGGGATGGGAGGTTCCTAAACAGTAACTAATGACAGGAGGGGTCAGTGGTGTAGACCAGAAGAGCAGCCTCCTGGAACCAGAGCTGGGGTAGAAGTGTCAGTTTAATCACGGAGACATAGCCCCACACCGTGGTTACCAGCAGCCTGAGTCATTCCTTTGATGTTTGGGACCGCCACTCAGGTACAGACAGAATCTTAACTATGCCTCAGAAAGATTTTTCAGGATGAGCTGTAGTGAAATCAAGTTAGTAAATGTACTAAATATTTAGAAATCAAATTGTGTAGGAAAAAAACAGGCACAATCTCAAGACATGACTGTGAGCTCTTCCACAGAGAGTCAGTCTCCCTTGGGTGTCTATATGGATGATTTTGTGACTTTGAGAAGTTTGAACTTCTCTAAGGTTGTAATTTACTGGGGTTAAAAATTAAGCAAAGTCTAAAGTTTAAAGTTTAAAAGTTAAGTAGGGAGCCTGCCACCCAGCTCCCCCCCCCCCAAAAAAACACGGAGACTTATTCTTCCTTATGAATTACCAGCCTTAGCTTGGCTTATTTCTAGCCAACATTTCTTAACTTAAATTATCCCATCAATCTTTTGCTTCTGAGCTTTTGCCTTTCTCTATTCTATATACCTCTTTTTCCTTCTTACTCCATGGCTGGTTGTGTAGCTTGGTAGCTGGCTCCTGGTGTCTTCCTCTCCTCCTTTTTCTGCTCCTGTCACCTCTTGTTCTTCTACTTATTCTCTCTGCCTGCCAGCCCCGCCTCTCCTTTCTCCTGCCTAGCTATTGGTCATTCAGCTCTTTATTAGACCAATCAGGTGTGTTTTAGACCGGCAAAGTAACATAGCTTCACCGAGTTAAACAAATGCAACATAAAAGAATGCAACACATCGTTAAACAAATACTCCACAGCATGAATGAATGAATGAATGAATGTACCACATCTTCAACTGATATTCCACAACACATTACCACATATTCATTGTGCTATGTGTATGCTCAAGTACACACACACACACACACACACACACAAAATTAAATGTAAATTTTAAACTAAAAAAATTAAAATTAATAGACTAGTTCATTTACTGTTTTTAACATCTGTATTGAGATGTGTTTAAGAGAACATACATCATTTTGTAGGTGATTCTTTTATCCTTTGTGTTGAAGTTCTTTGATTCTGTCATCAGGAAAGGCAAACTAGATCCCAGGGTAGGGAGGGTCTTGTTCAAATGATCCATGAATTTCCTTTGTATTTCTGCCATGCCTCAGAAGGAACAGGCAGCAGGAGCTAAGGCTGCAGGTACACAGGACTAGCTGGTTAGGAGTGCTGAATACAGTGTTTTCTGCCCTGTAAAAGTGAGAGAAATGACTAGGTCAGACTGACTACGGTGGTTTGAAGGAGAATGACCCCTATAGTACATTTGAAGGCTTGTTCTCCAGTTGATGGAACTATTTGAGAAGGATTAAGAGGTGTGGCCTTGTTGAAGGACATTTGTGAACTTTGAAATTTAAAGCCACACTATTCCCAGGTGTCTCTCTCAATCTCTCTCTCTCTCTCTCTCTCTCTCTCTCTCTCTCTCTCTCTCTCTGTCTCTCTCTCTGTGTGTGTGTGTGTGTGTGTGTCTGTGTCTGTGTCTGTGTCTCTCTCTATCTCCCTGTTGTTGTCTCAACATGTAAACTGTCAGCTACTACTTGAGCGCCTTGCTTACATGCCTGCTGCTGTGCTCCTCACCATGATCGTGGACTCTATAACCTCTGGAGCTGTGAGCACCAAATTAAACGGTCTCTTTTATAAGTGGCCTTGGTCATGGTGTCTCTTCATAGCAATAGAAAAGTAACTGAGACACTGGCATTGAGACAGATGAGACAGTGGCTAGAAAGTCATGGTCCAGAAGATGGATGAGATCACAAGCCAGTGTGGAAATGAAGACATAGAAGGGGGATGCATTTGAGAAGAGGTGTGGAGACCACAGGAGTAGACGTGGTTGGTTCCTGATGCAGAGAAGGTGGATTTAAAAAAAAAAAGAGGATGAAGAGGCCAGGGAGAAGTGTTACAGGGTTTGGAGTCGTTAGTGAGTGGTTGGTAGTTAGTTGTATCCCCAAGAAAGAGACTCCTGCTATTTGGGAAAATGAGGCAATTGGTGAAAGCAGGCAGGGGACAAAGGGAGCTAACAGGAGAGGGAGGAATATGATCAAAGTACATTATATGCATATATGAAAATGCCACAATGAAACAAATTATGTCTAATACATGCTAAAAGAAGCTGTTAATTTTTTTTGAAAGAGACTCCAGAAGGTGACCTGATTTAAGGCATTTATACATTAGTTTCATGTATGTTGCTCTTTCCCACTAAACTGTAAGCTCCTGGAGGGTCTGAGTACTGTGTAAATGTCATTACCATATCGAGGCCTAGCACAGACCCCTGTTATCCAGCTTATGGATTTATTAATTGAGCTACAAAGGCATAAGAGTTTTACAAGTAGGAATAGAGGATAGAGGACAGATACTTAAAGAAGCTTAGTAATTAGGGTCTGAAAAAAGTACCAATAATGGAAATAGTGGAGGACTGAGAAAGCGTGTGTGTATGGAGGGTCGTTCTCCTTCACCCTCTCTCAAACTAGAACTTGGCCTCCACTATCCAAGGAAAGGAAGTTTTAGCCCAATGTGAGAATCAGAGGAAGTTATTTCTTTGTTTTCTGTGTTTTTGTGGCCCCCGCCCCCATTTAGCAGGTCCCAGATCTTGGATGAGAACAATAGCTTAGGAACAATGTTCAGCAATAGGCACCTCCTTCCACACTCCCACTTCTGCCCCCCCAAAAGAGTGATGATTTCTCACAGAGTAAAAGACCCAGAGGGTAGGTAGATGCTTTGGAGTAGAGCTGCAAACTTTCTGGGTTGCTAGAAATACTCTGTATTTTGACAAGGTGTGGAGTACAGAGTGCACTTATTTCTCAGAATTCACCCAACCATGGCACTAAGTCTGTTCAGGTTGCTGAGGGAGGCTAACATGTCAGCTCCATTTTCTATGGAGCCCTTGAGAAAGTTTTCCAGGGAAACTCTAGTCCCTGAGTAGGGCACAGGTGTCAGTGCTACAGAGCCGAGGGGACGGAGGCCAGAGGAGATGGCATCAGAGCTCATAACCACCACGGATGCCAGCATCGAGGGGTGCATAGCTAAGTGGACATC